TCATAATGGCCCTGTATAGGGTTTCTAAGGAGCGGCTGGTGAATTCGAACCACCAACACTGCAATTCAAACCAACCTTATGATCTAGTGCTTATCCTACAGCCCCAAATACTCAGGCTTAAAAAAAGAATTATAGAAAGATTCCATTATGTTTTAATTCATTTGCTGGTTTTGCTGTTTCATCAAATCCCAAAACATCCTGTTGGTGCAATAAAATCATCTGTTGTGTAGATGTTCCCCCCATCCTCCCAACCTCTGACGTCTCACTCTTGATATCACTCATTTGCTCTGGCCACTTCTGCTGACATTCATTTTCTGGAATAAATCATTGACTACCCATGGAGGGTCCTTGCATCAGCTGTTTCTCAGTGCCTACCATGCTCTCTCGTTCCCCAGTCCAGACTAAGAGGTCCTTCTTAAAAGTCTGGGCTCTTCTTAAATTCTCCTTCTCAGACAGACCATCCTTGACCATCAACCTTGTTATCACAACTTATCGTTCTATTGATTTTTCTACATACACATTATTTGATAGCATCTTTCTTATTTATGTTTTGTGGTCTGCCTCTTCCAATCAGAGTATAAACCTCTGGAGAAAAAGGATTTTGTCTGTCTAGACCACCTCTCACATCTCAAGTACTTTCAAGCACAGAGTATATATTCATTAATTACCTAATGAATGAATGAATAACATAAAGTTGGCCGTCAAATGCTAAAGATATGAAAACTTATGTGTCAAGGTTTGTGAAAGTTATTCGTGTTCAAAAGAATCCAAAAACATCATTTCCATACTTATTTTAATCAGTAAACAACTTGAAAAAGGATAATTTATTGTGGAAGAATGGATAAAGACAGGAAAGTCTTTATTTTCAATCTGAATAAGTCTAAGTAAAAATTTTAAATGATCACAGGGACATAAAATGTTATTTTTATCAGGCTCAGGTAGGTCTGGAAATGTAGACAGATTTTGCAAAGTTTGAATAATCTAGTATTAAATTAGTGAGGGCTATACACAAACAAAATGCCAAATATATTTCCCATGAAATAAATTCTATAAATTATGAGTAATGCTTTTGCTGTTTGTCTTTCTATATTAGATTTAGGAAGCAGGCTTAATTAAGAGGTTAAGTGGAAGCAGACTTGAATCTCTTCTTCATAAAAGGCAATCTCTAAATAAGAAATTAACTCTTCAGCCAAGTCTTCATTTTCTGTGGAAAGTATTCTCATCCAGTTCAATGTTTTATAATAGAATTTACCATTCTAATCAATAATTTAATGTTGCAAACCTCCTAATAATCTAATTTAGGATATTAGCTACTAGCTATGATATTCTGAAATACAGTGAAGATATATCAGTTAAGAATACACAGGTAAAAAAATACAAAACAACCTGCTTCAATAGTCCCTTCAGATGTACTTGGTGGCTGGTGCTTGTGTGTTACCAAGTCAGTTCCAACTCATAGCAACCCTGTATTGGATTTATGAGGTTGTAAATCTTTACAGGAGCAGAAAGCTTCATATTTTTCCCAGGGAATGATCGGCAGATTTGAACTACTGGCCTTGCATTTAGCAGCCTAGCTCATAATCTATTATGCTATCAGTTTCCTTTAAGATGTATTTGTAGGAATCCCAAACTCAAAATAATCAATAACTGAGGAACCTATGGCAAACTCAAATTGAAAGACCTTCAACAAATCAATAGATCAACAGATAAAGGGCATTATATTTAAACTGATCCTGAACCAGGAGGGGGAAAAACAGTTGTTACAGAAACACTGACAAAATTTGAATGGATATTATCGTATAAATGTCAAATTTCCTGACTTTGAAAAATTGCACTTATTCTTAAGAATACAGACAAAAGTACCTAGTAATAAATAGGGAAAAACAGACAAATAAACATGTAGAAAGAACTAATCTGATGAAAACATTTTAGGGCAATAGAGTGAAACAAAAAATAATTTCCCATGTCAGTGACTAGGAAAATAATAAACACTTAGAACTACAAGCCAGTGCATCACTGAAAGATCCCTATGCTATAAGAGAGAAATCAATAAAAAGGAAACATTTGCTATTTCAACAATAATATATTATTAACTTAACAAATGAGATGAATACAAATGTAAACATAATTTTTTAAATGTCTTGGAGTAAGAGCCTTTGTAAGTCAGTTTTATTCTTTACCAATATATATTTTAGCAAAATATTATAAAAGCATTTCAACTTTAAAATAAAAATCAGAATAAAGGATTTATAGTTATAAATAATGTTCAGATATCAAACTTCAGACTAGCGCAATCATTTCTCATTAGTCTTAAAATTTTAGTTTTTAAACTTGAAGCATTGATGATAATAAAATAATAAAAATGATGCAAGCAGCCTCCAACTTGTTATTCCTCAATTTACATAGAAGAAAAAAAAAATAACTTTAGAGATTATAATTATAGCAATTTTGCCTAAATTACTAACAGGTGTTAAGTAACAAATATGCAAAAATAACAATGAAGCGCCTCCCTTGCTCCTTTGACAAAAGTAAATAGTATTTAGTCAAAGATCTCCCACATTGGTATAAAGCTTACATGGATCTGTAGTATTGTAAATACTATTTTCATTATTACCACAGTTTATACATAATTTGTAGCATATTAAAATAATCCAGATGATTTTGGTAGAAAATAATTGTATGTTGCTGTCTCATTATTCATAGACAGGATAAAAGTCTTGTTAAAGTCTCTCTGTCTTTATCTCTCTCTGTCTCTACATCTACCAATCTATCTATCTATCTATCTATCTATCTATCTATCTATCTATCTATCTATCTATGGAGCTCTGGTAGCATAATTGTTACGAATTGGTATGCGAACCTTAAGGTCAGCAGTTCAAAACTACCAGCTGTTTCACAAGAGAAAGATGAGGCTTTCAGCTCCTGTAAAGATTTACAGCCTCAGAAACCCTGTACATGGTCACTATGAGTTGGAACCGACTCCACGACACATAACCACCACCACCATTTGTGTGTGTATATATACTGTAGATGTTACATTGTTTGTATAAATAATCAGTAGGTTCCAAGCCAACTGGATAATGTTTAGAACCCCATATAATATACTCACATTTATTGTGTTTCTCTTTGCTAACCTAACTTATCTCAGAGAATAATAAATTGCTGAGTGTTTGTAAATGTTAGGTGTTTGGGAATACCAAGGTTAAATTGCTTTCCAGGACATAAATTTATTGAAGTAGAATAAGGTATATATGTGTGTATATATATATATATAGTCAAAATTCAGCTGGTAAAATTTACTGAACTATTTTGAAATAGAAGTGCACACCCACACACATAGGCAATTTTTCCCTGAAGTTTCACATTACAGCATATCAGAGCTCTGTCAGTGACACCCTAATCACCCTCCCCAAGGCGAGAATATACATGCTGAGTTCAGACTGCTTACTAATTACACTAAATTTTTTTTTAACCTCAAAGCTTTAAAGAAAAATCATGATCATAGGAACTCTAGATTTGTAGTTAAAATAGAACAGTATAATCATTTCTAAGAAGTCATCTCAGTTTCTCTTTTTATTTTTGCACTATTGTGTCTGGAACCATCAAAACAACATATCTTAATTTTCAAAATAGTTATCAATTAAATGTTACAAAGACATACAATGCAGGTCTTTACTTTCATTCTGGTGGATACATTGAGAGATCTATCTCGCTCTGTCACAGGTTTTGTGGATATAATATTACTATGGAATAAAGAGACTTGATGACACACATCTCTGTTTTTACTCACCAGTTGTTTCCACAATGCCTTCTAGGATGACGACAATCTCGAATTGTTCGCTTTGCATGCTTCGCTGGGATAGGTCATAAAAGGGGCTTTTGGCATCGATCACGTGGCAAATCGTGAGGGGGGAAACAAGAAAAAGTTGATCTGCCCCTGTACTAAAACCTACATCCAGTTCAAGTTGGTCAAGGGGTAGGAACTCCCCCTCAGGTGTCTGCCGAGACTAGACAAGCACACAGAAAAAGAAAAGAAATCACTACTTGTGCTGAAATTTTCAAAGCAGCCTAACAATAATTTACATCATTGCCAACATTCTGCACTATCAATCATCTGCAACAAAATCCAAACAAACTGTTATACAGCTATGTTCTAGCAAAGGGGCTTCACATTCCACATAGCTTATGTGGAACATACATGCATTATTTATATATACAACTTACTATAATTACCATTCCCTAACTCTTGAGCTTTGGAAAAATGCCTGGCCCAACAATAGCTGTTAGCACAAACTATAGAAGTGAGTTTATATGTGCTACCGCTAGACATAAATCACTGTATAATAAATCATTGCATGTCAGATTTTCACAAAACAACCTAATGCCCGCTGTCATCGAGTGGATTCTGACCTATAGGATGGAGTAGAACTGCTCCATAGGGTTCCTAAGTCTGTAAATCTTTATAGAAGCTAATTGCCATAGTGTTGTTCTGAGGAGTGGTTGGCACCACCAACATTTTAGTTAGTAGCTAACTACTTTAGCCACTATGCCACCAGGGTTCCTGTCACTGAAAAAATGAGTAAGCAATTCTACTGGAGTTTTAGTGCTGATGAAGACTTACAATAAATTAAGAAGAGATTTACTAAATTCCTAAAAAGCAATGCATACTAATTACTCTTCCAAGATATTGAAAGACAAAAGTTATCAACTGTAACAGAAGAGCAGAAAGGTTACATGTATATTAAATTATTCAAACAAATGCACAAAAAAATAAACTGAAGGTAATCTTAGTGACTGGCTTTCAAACTCAAGTTTCAACCTTTAAGAATAAATTATCAAATTCACTTACTTCTTTATTTTGTGATATTAAAATTGTCATCAAATCGTGCTAAACTGATATATCTAACCAAATGAATTTTAAGTACCTATATTTGGTAAGCATATACATTAGCAAAACTTCATAAGGTAGTAAATTTTAGTTTCAGTAGAAACTATTTATAAAGTTTGTCTCTAAAAGAAAATTATATATAAATACTAAAAATCAGTAGACCATAAATGTTAACTTTCAATCTTTCTGTTTTATTCATTTTCATTGAGTAGTCCATAATTATTACTTGTAAAAATTATATGCAAGCAAATATTCTCATTTAATTTGTAGGGTAGTGGTGAAATAAAGTTCCAGGAGTTAGGAGCAGCCTACAAAAAAAAATTCAGGTGGGGACCAAGCTGCTGGTCAGATAAGACTTTGAAAAATTCATATATATATAAACTGTTTTCTCCAATGAAATGGTAGTGCGAGGACAAAATCCTTGCTCTTAGGGTTCCAAGAATTTTTTTTTTTTTTTTTAATATGAGAAAAGTAAGTATGAATACATTTTAAAATATGGTTTAATAAGAAGCCTTTTGTGGGAAAAGCAGAACAAAGAGTTCCAATTGATGAGGGTGTATTACAGCATCAACGGCTGCAAAAAGTCCCAACAGAAGAATGAATAAATTGGAGAGGTTACTTTGTAGTTAGTACTAATCACTAATATTATTGTGTTAAAGCAAACAAATTTTAAAAATCCATAGGAAACTAATGACACTATTTTCCTTCCCTATCTTGTTGCTAGTTGAAAAAATAAACGAAGGTAATAATTGCTGAAAAGAGTGAAATCCATGCAAAACCTTGATGGTACAAAATCCCCGCAAAAACCATCAGCTTTAACATCCAAAGCTAGATGAAGGTAGGCATTTCTAAAACATGTGAAAAAGCTCGTTTTGGAGCTTCTGCAGATCACCTGTGTCTCCAAAATGCATATTAATTATTAAAACCTAAAAATTTTCAGCTACACACTTATATAATAAGTTATTATTCACATTTTGAAAAAGCAAATGAAAAATAAGTACAAACAAAAATCCTATTACCATTGTTCTTCCACCTACTGAGAAACAGGTGCTATATAAACACAAGGTGGTATTCTCATGTTTCTAATGAATGACCAGAATTGAGGTAGTTATAACTAAACATTCTATATTTTAAACTCTGGTGTAAGACTGTAGGATAAGCACTGGACCACAACATCATTTGGAACTGCAAGGTCGGTGGTTCAAATCCACTAGCCGCTCCTCAGAATCCCTATATAGGGTCACTGTGAGTTGAACACTGACTCGATGGCACTTAACAACAACAACAAATTCTAAACTTAGCTTTTTATTAACTAAACAGCAGTATTGATAAAGATAATTTTTGAACAACTCATTTTTCTTTCAAATAATACTTTATAAAGAAGATATATTCTTTCTAATTATTGCCTATGTAATTAGTGCTCTAATTACTTTTCCTTTTTTTACACATTTATGTCTAATTCCAGAAGCATTTGGAGTAAGATATTAAGTTTTATGTTCTTTGATCATCAAACATCAAAGAAGCATCGTAACAATAGGCAGCTATCAGGGGAATGCCAAACTTGAGTGAAAACATTTTATTTTTAGCAGTCTAAATAGTTAAATTCTATATAAGTAATTTAGATTTAAACATACATGGATCTACTTTATTCAGACTCAATGTACTTTCTACTCATAAAAGTCTTTCATATACTTAAAATTATACCTCCCTTCTAAAATATATTATTTATGCTCTACCAAAGGTGACAATCTATTGTGTAACACTATAGGGAGAGAGATTTCCCGTGCTTAAATATTTTACAGATAATTGAAGTTTTCCATGTCTGTGTGGTAAATTGTTTGCAAATACTATACAATTTTCTATACCTTATGCAAGTAATACACATACTAAAATTTTTGCAAGCTACATAACCTCCTCAGACAATCACTGCCTGTGTGTTTTAAAGGTCTGTACAAATGTTGCATATTTGGACATGTTATGTGCAAAAAATAAGACAACCTTTATGTACACTCTAAGTCTGTACACATATCCAAAATTTTATCTTTCAGACTTTCTTCCACTATGTTACATTATCAAGTTATTCAACTTCCAATATTCTCACCTCCCTGATTTCTATTTGCCTTTTGTTGTTGTTGTTGAATGCCCTATAGTCAGTATTAACTCAGAGACCCTCTATAGGGTTTCCAAGGAGCAGCTGGTGGGTTTGAACCACCAACCTTATTAGGTAGTTAGGTTAGGTTAGTAGTCCAGTGCTTATCCTACAGAGCTTTTAATAGTCTTTGCTGTTATTGCTGTTGTTAAGTGCCATTGAGTTGGTTCCAACTGTATAGGGTTTCCAAGGAGCAGCTGGTGAGTTTGAACTGCCGACTTTGCTGTTCAAACCAACCTTGCACTTGAGTGTTTATCCTATTGCACCACACCAGTACTCCACAATAGTCTTGGAAGCCAAATAATCATTATGAACTTAATTTAATAGAAGGCTTTGTCTAAATCAAGGGTGACGTGTGTGATTTTAGTGTTGTAGGTGCTTGGAGCACTGAAATTTTAGAAGTTTGAGCTCCTGACTCTAGAAAATTTTAGTCAAGTATGTTCAGTATTTCAGAAGTCGACATGTTTACCAAATACTTTTGTGAGAAGTATATACATTCTATTTTAGAACAGAAAAGTCTCATGGAGGTTTTCCTAATTCTGATGTAAGTTAAGTAAATTACAGAGATTCACTGGAGCAAAGGAAACAAACAAACAGATAAACAAAAGCCTATCTTAGTCTTAAATTTCTTGCTTGTCTAAGTGGAGTGAGAGAACTTTTGTTCAAGGATAAGAAATCAGTAGCATTGATATGCAGTCATTTTATACTTCTTTTCTTTAGTTATAAATGACCATATTTTACCCAGAAATATTTGACAGTAGGCAGGAAACTTTTAGGTGAAAATAGATTTAACCTTCCTTATTTATGTCATCTTAAGGAGCTCTGGTAGCTAGTGGTTATGAATCAGGCTGCGAACCGCAAGGTCAGCAGTTTGAAACTACCAGCTGTTCCGCAGGAGAAAGATAAGGCTTTTTGCTCCAGTAAAGATTTACAGCCTCAGAAACCTTGTACAGGGTCTCTATGAGTCAGAACTGACTCCATGGCACATAACCATCACCATCATTTATGTCATCTTAAGAATTTTGATGGAGTCCTGGTGTGGTCCTGTGGATTAATGCTCCAGACTGCAAAACTGTTTGAACCGCAAGGCCGGCAGTTCAAGCTCACCAGCTAGCTGCTCTTTGGGAACCTTATACAGGGTCGCTATGGTTCGGAGTCGACTCAACAACACTTAACAACCATAACAAGAATTATAATATAATAGGAAACCTTCAATTGTTAAAGCAGTTTGCTTTGGTTCACATAATCTTCTTTACTTCTATAAACCTAATCTCCAAGTGAACTATAACTATGATTGTTTCCTAGATGAAAGTGTATAAACAGATGTGATAAGTTGTTGTTGTTAAGTTCCATTGAGTCAGTTCCTACTCATAGCAACTCTGTTACCCTGTATGGGGTTTCATTTAGTAGGTTTGAACTGCCAACCTTGCAGTTAGCAGTACAGTGCTTATCCATCCTGTAGTGCTATACCAAGACTCCAAGATATTATATAGAGCAATAAAAAATGAAAACAATTTCTAAAAATGTAAGATCGATGTAGTAAGTTTAGCTTTTTTTTTAGTTCCTAAAAAATTATAACTAGGATTGATTTCTATTTGAGGTAATAATGAATTAGAATTAGAAAATTTATAGAATGAAAGAAAATAATGGGAAAGAGGTGGAAGACAAAATAGAGTTAATAATTAATTTTGCAATTCTTTAAAATTTAGAACTTTTTTTGGAAAAACTTTGACCTGCAAATAACTTCCCATACCTTCTATTTTTTTTTCCCAATTTTCTGGAATCTTGGGAAATAAATAAAAAGTGTCCCATCCTTTTAAGGCCTTATTGGTTGACTGTACTATTCAGAAAGTTAAAAGAAAATCAATGGACAGTAAGGCTTAATCTTTTTTTAACTTTACTGTTTTAAAAATATAATCTGAATATCATAATTAAAAATAATTTGGTACAATTTAGGTTTTAGCATTATT